CACACACACACACATACAAAACCCCACCAAGTGTCCCAAGTTCAAATGCAATACAGTTTCAGTAAGTTTTTCAGCATGCAGGTTTAATTCAGTTGTCTCTCATCAAAGGTAGGGAGAAAAAGAGAAAAAAAAAAGTCTTTAGACAGTTCTGAGAATGGTATCTGCGGCTGTCGCTTGCCTGCCTGCTGCTGTCATCCTGCTGTTGCTGGAGGCGTTATTTATGTAGATCTCTGGGGTGAGCTTAGCACTCACGTGGCCCTGCAGGCTTTGTTTACTCAGAGTTCTCCTGTGCGTGAGCCTCTGCTACAAGTTTTCCCCTTTCCAAGCACACTGAGAACGGTGACACTGCACCCACTTTCTCAGGCCTGCGTGTTTATTTACAGTTCATGTGGGAAGTGGGTCTTCCCTCCTCTCCTGTACAGTTTTCCTACTACTACCACTTTTACAAGCTTTCCTGCTCCTGATTACTGGGTGGTGCTTCTGCTCTTGCAAGCCACCATGTTTGTTTACGGCTCACGTGAGAAGTGGGTCTTCCCTCCTCTCCTGTGGAGTTTTCCTCCCTCCACCACTCTCACAAGCTTTCCCACTCCTGGTTGCTGGGCATGTGTCCCCGCTCCCACCGGAGCCTCTCCTGCCCGCCTGGCTTGTTTATTTACCGTTCCGGGAAGGATTCCCTTCCCCCAATCTTTGGTGCTCAGTGCGCCCCACCCTCTTTCCCATGTGTCTTTATTGTTCTTATTGCTTATTACTCAGTTTTTCTTTTTTCCCCAGGTGGTGGTCAGTCTGTCCAGGGGGCTATGCTGCTCTGGCCCAGGGTTGTCTGTGGGAGTACCGCAGTACCACGAAGCTCACTTTGTCTGCATCTTCCCAAGCTGTCTGGGCGCAGGTGACTGATGGCCCAGGGGCCCTCCTTGTTTCTCCGTTTAATGTGAAGTGGAGATTCTCTGCACCAGCTGGAGGTGTGGAGGGGTCAAAGTTTTGCCTCTTCCCAGTGATTTTGCCTGCAAAGTGTATTTCCAGCATCTCTCCAAGGTTTCACTATAGGAGGCTCATTTTCTGCTTCCTCCCTCTAGCCGCCATCTTGGAACCCCTCAAAATATAATTAGATAGGAGCAAGTTCTGCAGTTCTACACCACAGAGGGTGAATATAGTTTATAACAACTTATATTTTGTAAAAAACTAGAAGAGAGGAGTTTGTCAGCACCCAGCTGGCCAGGGAAATGATAAAAGTTAGAGGATGAAAATGATTATTGCTCTGATTTGATAAGTAAATAATCTATACATGTATCAAATTATCCCACAATTACATATAATTACCTTTGAAAGTTTAAAATAAATTTTGAAACAGAAAACTTTGAAAATACATATAAGCATATCTTTGAGTTGAAGTAGTACCCTGTGAAGCTAATAGTTAAAAAATAATAAGCCTTATTATTAAAATTTTCTGAATTTTATATTTCTCTTATTTCAATTAGTAATAGTATATGATGAAGAAACAGTTTTGTATCATTCATGATTAAAATGTAATTTTCATAATGTTTCATTCAAATAGTCTTTTTACATTTTTATTTATATTTTTATAATATATATAATATTTTAGTATGCTATATACTTTATAAAATATGTACAGTTTTAGAGTACTTTTCAGATGATTTCACTGAGATCTATGTACAAAATGTGTCATCTGAAATGACACTTCCACTGGGAAATATTCCTCCATTCTTTCAAATTTTCTTTCTCTAAGTCTACATAACATGTGTAGCCATTTTATATCACAGTCTAAATTGTGCCCCAGTTAAACATCTATATGTTTTTCTCTCTGACTAGATTGTGAGGTACATAGAAGTAGTCATTTATAAATCTAAGAAGTTCTTCTCTTCACCCTGCTCATATGCTGGGCCCCCTCTGCCATTTGTATCTCCAGTGCCCCATACAGACTTTAGCAATTGAGGAAAAGAATATGTATTGAATATTCAGCTAAATTGTCTGTAAAGAGAACCAAAGATCCACCAGCACAATCCTTACTTACAAGTATTTAACAGAAATTACACTATTGAGGGACATACAAGATTCTCCTGTAAGAGACAATTATAAAGTTAGGTAAATATCATCTAAATTAAGTAGAGGAAAAACTCAATTCCAATATAAACACCATGGAAAATTCTTGTGAAGGACATATTATTTGAGATCAAGAATTAGAGCAGGATTGAGAAAAAGAGAGGGTGAAGTTATATGAATGTGTAAACATTACTAGGAAATTAATTTTACCAAGTACCCAAGTTATCTTGAAGTTAGGTACATGACATGATGTAAATTGGAGAAACTGGAATTCTAAAATAAGGAGAACGAATTTGGTGTGAAGACTAATAAGGAAAGCACTGTTTTTTCACTTATTGAAAAACTGTTGTGCAGTACAAACTGCCAGCTACTGTCAAGGTGTTGAAAATACAGGATTGGGCATATCAAAGAAATTCCAACTCTCTAAACCAGTATGCCAACGGTGAACATGGAACGTAACTGACCAATTACATATGTACTAACAAATAGTCTAGTGAACAGTGCTTAGTTGTGTGAAGAAAAATGAACACTATGGCTTTAGAATTGGAAAAGGTAACTGGTACAAACAGAAATTCAGGAGAATTTTAAAAGTTTTATACTAGACAAATAAAAATATCAAATTCCAACTGAGTGCATTGCTGTATGAAGATATGATCAACTCACATAGTGAAGTAGTTGAAATTGGCTAACCCTACCACACCATGTAGTTCCCTCTCCAAATATTACTTTTTATAGACCACATTAATGACATGTCCCCCAGGAAGGGGTCAAATGAGCCAGAGATCATTTTCTAGCTGTTGTATATTTTGTGCACAATATGGTGATGAAATTGTAAAAAGTCATCTATGTGCAAATCAGCAATATTATACTTGGGTTATAGTTGGGGTCATTTTCTTTAAGCACATTGCACCACAGGGCACCTATAATTAATTTCGAGTAGTTAGTTATTTTTTAGGGCACCAAGTCTCTACAGAAATACACAGATGTCAGTGTAGGAAATTCCCTTGAGGATTTGATGAACCATTTTAACTTTGTAGTTTAAGGGACATAATTACTAACACTGACCTATAGGTTGTCTCAATATTTGTGTTTTCCTTAATAACAAATACTTTAAGAGAAAGGTATGTATATATTCCTAAATTATGAAATCTTTAAACAAAAATGTGCAAACAATACACTTTTAAAAGCTCTGTATGGTTAAATTTATGTAAGAAAATTATTCTAACTTATTTTTACTTCTTATCAGCCATAATTATTATTTATAAAACACATTCATAAAATTTCACTATTGCTAAATTATAACTACTTTCTCACCTTTTGTAGCTCTACTGAAATTCAATAATATGGGGAATTAGGATGAAGTAGAATACTGCAATTCATCTGACTTTATGAATGTGAAGTAGAATTTCAAAGTACATAGGTAAGATCACAAAAATTCTGCTAAATAAGTCAATGTATATTGAAAGTTACTTCTCACTTAATTATATGGCTTATATATTCTAGAGCAAACAAATTTCTACTGCCTTTCTTTTAATGTTCTGATGGAAATGCAAACTCATTTTGATCATAGAATTTGTATGGTTAGAGTTTGCAGCCAATATGTCACAAAGGATCACTAAGTACAGAGAGTACAGAGGTGTTTAAAAGAAAACAAAATTTGGAATCAAAATTCCACTAGAACTTAAAGTGTTTTCTCTGTTTGAATTGTTAAAAACTGAAATATAAAGGTGAGTTTCCATTTACTAGTTTTTATATTCTATAGTATTCTTTAGCAAACATATAATTTTCTGAGGAAACAGAAAATCTGAAGGTGTCAACTTAAATGTAAAAAGTAGATTAATGTTTCTTAAGGTGATGATTTTGAAACATAACCTTGTAGACTGTTCAGAGATAACAGTCTCAATGTGTAGAAGAAAAGAATTCACTAAGAATCATTAGGATAGTGAAAACTGAATCACCCTTCCCAAGTCATGAGTATCAAGAAAGTATTGAAATTAATCCTGCTTTCTTTACTTGCCTTGCCTTTCTCTCCCTTCCCCTTCCTTCCCTTCACCTCATAGCATTCCTTTCAGAGATATGAAATAACAAAAATCAAAATGTTTATACTATGACAGGGAAATTGTTCAGATTTATATAAGGAAGAAAGCAATGTAAATTAAACATAAGAAATTGTGAATTTTCTTAGTATTAATAACATGCCATAGAATTTAGAAAATGAAATGAGGACATTCAAGTAAAATTTTAAGTGACATAGTACATAAATTGTACCTTACAAGATTGCAGAAGTATTAAAAAATTTGGGAAAAAATAAGTAGCTATAGTGACATACATAGTCAGTTTACAAACATGAGTGTGGTCCTGAGAAAAGGGACGAGAGTAGTATTAATTTGAGAAGTGCTTATTTCATAAAATTTCCAAGGTTATTTTCTTAAAAATAAGCATCACCCTCCTGTATCAATACTAGTCCTTGGGAAAATCTCTAAGATATAAATTTAACATACTTCCAATATGATTTTTTATAAAAATTCACCAGACCTGGATAATATATAACAACTGCAGTCTTCATATAAAAATAAACACATTTAGGAGAAATCTCTTTTAAATTAATTTAATGCATTTCTAAAAATAACAATGAAACACTTGGTAACAAGGATTAAAAATGGATCTCATAAATTTTTATGATATCCTTGCATAAATTCATGAGTATAAACTTGTTCCACTTTAAGCATTCTCCCTACAATTATCAGGATATCACTGTGAAACACGAATCACATCGTGAGGTCACAGGTTTTAAGAGAATAACTGCCCTCCAAAAGTATAAGTGCCAGGGGTTTTTGAAGAAGAAACTCATCTACCTGTTACAAAAAATGAATGGAAAATCGTATGTTCTCTCATTTAAAGATTTTATCTTCCTAATTCTTACCTCAGCAGATAAGGTAAAGATGACTGTGGACAACAACTCCTTGACCACTGAATTCATCCTCACAGGATTTGCAAATCATCCCGACCTGAAAACCCTGCTGTTTGTGGTCTTTTCTGCCATCTATCTGATCACCATGGTGGGGAATCTTGGTTTGGTAGCCTTGATTTACATGGAACGTCGTCTTCACACACCAATGTACATCTTTCTGGGAAACCTGGCTCTGATGGATGCCTGCTGTTCCTGTGCTATCACTCCCAAGATGTTAGAGAACTTCTTTTCTGAGGACAGAACGATTTCCCTCTATGAATGCATGGCACAGTTTTATTTTCTTTGTCTTGCTGAAACTGCAGACTCTTTTCTCCTGGCAGCAATGGCCTATGACCGCTATGTGGCCATATGCAGCCCATTGCAGTACCACACCATGATGTCCAAGAAACTCTGCATTCAGATGACCACAGAATCCTACATAGCTGGGAACATACATCCTATTGTTGAAGTTGGGTTATTGTTTAGGTTAACTTTCTGTGGGTCTCATCAAATCAATCACTTTTTTTGTGATGTCCTTCCATTATATAGACTATCTTGTGTTGACCCTTATATTAATGAATTAATGTTATTTATCATGGCAGGGTCAGTTCTAAACTTTACAGTTGCTGTAGTCCTAATATCATATTTTTATATCCTTTTTACCATATTCACAATGAAGTCTAAAGAGGGAAGAGGAAAAGCCTTATCTACCTGTGCATCCCATTTTCTCTCTGTGTCAATATTCTATGGTTCTCTTCTTTTTATGTATACTAGACCTAATGCACTTAATGAAGGGAATAAAGATATACTTGTTGCTATATTTTATACTTTAATTATCCCCTTATTAAATCCTTTTATTTATAGCTTAAGAAATAAGGAAGTAATAAACGTTATTAAAAGAATAATGAAGAAGAGAAAATTGTGTAGCATTCTGAAACAAGTATCTCCTTTGGAAAAGTAATTTTAACATTATATTACCTCTTTACTGATGTTACAAGAATTAAGAAGGTGGAAATGCCACTTTATAGTTAAAATATTATGTTTTTAAAGCATAACAGTAATTGAGTCAAATTAGTCTGGGAAGGAGATATTCTTTTAAACATATTTAGAATGTAAGGTACTAGAATGCATCAGGAGAGCAATAAAAAGATACTTATTCATGTCACTGTGTAATTATTCACAATTTTCACAAATGACAGTAATAAAAGTATATATAATTGTAGCCTTCACTTATTATCAGTGGCACATTTTTCAATCTCAATGCATAATCTTAAAATCTCCGGCACATTCCAAATTCTCAAATGTTAATCATTTTTAAGTAATACTAATGGTGGAAGGAAACCTGCATTCTTGAATTTGATTTTGAATTTGACTTTATGTCATTACAGATATTACAGCTAAATTTTTTTCATACAGGATACTGCCCAGTCAAGAATATCTTCAAATAATGCAACTTCAAATTTAGTGTTAGTCTTTTTTACTCTCAAATTCTCTGAACTGGAATAAATGTCTATTGCTGGTTTATCAATCTGTAGTTAAAAATGATGCTCTTCATAATTAAATACCTATGAATTTTTAATTTTTCATTGATGGATATAAATCTTCTTCCTGCATCAACCATGTCACATCTGATTTTATATTATCAGTACTCACACAGTGCCTGGTATATTTGAGCATCCAGTAAATATGTCCTTCAGGATGTTTTTAAGATAATTATGTTAGCTAAGATATAACGGGCTTATTTTCTTAACTTGAATGATTAGTAGATATTTTCAGTTTTAATTTCTAATATGGTAAACAATGATAGATATAACCTGCATAAGCAAAAGTTCTTTAAGGTCATGAGTATATTTTGAGTATAAATAAATCAAAAGATCAAAAATTTGAGAAGATTGCATTAGATGCATTGTAGATACCCTCAATTTTTGTGGACATTGTTAGTCATAATTGTACTCATTGATTTCTTTTCCTTTCTTTAACATTATCATGATTTTTGTTAAGTATTTCTGCATCACCCAGATCCAATCCATAGCACTGCTGAATCTCAGATATTTATTGATGGCAGATTATGGAATTTATTTGGGTCCAATGAGACAAGGGAGGTAAAATATGAAGTGATTATTAATTCAGTTGTCTAGAAATGAAGATTTGAAAAAATATTTTTACAGAACTATTTGAAAGCAAATAGTTTGATATATTCTGTGAAGAAGTTTTACTTTGAGAAATTGCATACTATTCTGGTTCCCATTACATTGTTGTCACTCTGAAAACTTTCAATAATTGTTCTTTATTCTGTGGTTTATTTTATAACCATATAAGGAAAAGTTTTATGTTTTTCACACTTCTGTCTAGATAATGGTGGATTTGTAACTTATCTTTTCCTGCTTGGCACATTTCTTTATCAACTTTTCTTTTTCCTACCATTCTTTTCTCTTTGCTGTCCTTTTTCTTCTCTTCTCTTTTCTTCCTTTCTTTCTCATTTACTTCTTCCTTCCTTACATTTTTCTTTCCTTCTTACTCTTTAAATGTTAAACCTTTACTTCTACAATGAAGAAAAACTTGAGGGTACAAAATAAATACAACTTACATAGAAAAGACAGACTATAGAAACCTAATTTCTAATATTCATAATAGTTATTTTCATCATATTCTCTGAATATCATAAATATTTCAGAATTGATCATTATAAACTCATAAATTTGTTTTGTTTTGTTTCCCCTTAGTTCCCACAAATAAGATAGATAATATGTGATACTTGTCTTTCTAGGACTGGCTCATTCCACTTAACATGAAAATCTCTTATTCCATCCATTAACCAGAAAACAAAATAGTTTCAGTCTTCCAAATGCCAAGAAAGATTCCATTGTGTATATATACCATAGATTTTTATCCATCCGTTGATGGGCATCCAGACTGATTCCATAATTTTTATTATGAATTGTGCCACAATGAACATGAACATATGGGTTTCTCTATAGTAAGCTGATTTTGATTCTTTGAGGTATATACCCAGAAGGCATAGGGCTGAGTCATGTGGGAGTTCTAAGAAGGAAAAGGTAAGAGTAGTAGAGGGAACATACATGATGAAAGTACATTATAAGCATATCTGGAAATATCATGAGGAAACCCCTTACTAGGTACACTTTAACATAGGCCAATTAAAAAAGAAAATGGGACAAAAAAGCATATAAATAAAGGTGAATGTGGATTGAAAAACAAAGTCATAGATTCTAACATATGTTACCAGCTTATGTAAGATACAATTATTTTTGACTGTTAAGAACTCAACTTTTGACTACCAGAAGGTCAACCCAAAATCTACAAATTTGTTCCTGAGTCTTTTTGATATAATCCCAATACTTTTTCACACAGTCCCTGCTCTTAGGCATGAAAGCTTTACTCTAATTGTTTTACAATTCCTGCTGACACTGAGAATTAGACATTTTCCCAAGGAGCTCCTTTAAATAAAAATTTACTCATTTCCAATTTATTTCTGTGTTTATTTTTAAAATACGGAAATATTTGTTGATCCTTTCTCTTAGTTGCTGAGGCACTTACCTATGTCTATTGCTTCCAGCATATTCCCTGCTCTTTCCTATACTAGCTTCGAGGTTTCATGTCTTATAAGGCCTTAAACCCACTTTGAGTTCATACTTGTACGGGGTGACAAACATGGACCTAGTTTCAGTTTTCTGCAGGCAGAAATCCAGTTTTGCCTCCAACATTTGTTGAAGAGGCTGTCTTTTATCCATTGTATATTTTTGGCAACTTTGTCAAAAATTAGGTGGGCATAGCTATGTGGATTCATATCAGAGTCCTCTATTCTGTTCCACTGATCTTCATAGATGTTTTTGTGGCAGTACTGTGCTGTTTTTATTGATATGACTCTGTAGTATAGTTTGAAGTTAGGTATTGTGATACCTCAGTGTTGCTCTTTTTGTTCAGTATTGCCTTGGCTATTAGTGGTCTTGTTCTTCCAGATGAACTTTAGGATTGATTTTTCAATGTCTGTAATAAATGCCATTGGAATTTTGATGGGAATTGCATTGAACATGTAGATTGATTTTAGCAGTATATAGCCATTTTTACTATGTTGATTCTACCAATCCACCTTCTGTAGTCTTCTTGAATTTCTTTTTTCAATTGTTTGTAGTTCATTTTATAAAGGTCATTCAAATACTTTAAGTTCATTCTAGGGTATTTGATTTTTTTTTAGGCTATTGTAAATAGAATTGTTTTTGCTATAGCCTTTCTTGGTCTGTTCATTGTTGGTATATAGAAAGGCTACTGATTTTTGTAAATTCATTTTGTATTTTTCACTTTTCTGAAGCTGTTTATGATGTCTAATAGTTTGTAGGTGGAGTTTTTCAGGACTTGTATTTATAAGATTATGTCATCTGCAAATAGGGATACTTTGATTTCTTCTTTACCTATTTGTATTCCTTCTATTTCTTCTTCACATCTTATTGCTCTGGGTTGGAATTCCAAGACTTTTGTTGAATAGAAGTGGAGAGAATGGGCACCCTTGTTTCATTCCTGACTTTAGGGGAAATGGTTTCTGATTTTCCCATTAAATATGATGATGGCTATAGATTTATCATATATTGCCTTTATTATGTTGAGGTACATTCCTTCTATTCTTAGTTTTATTAGAGCCTTTATCATACAAGCTAAAATGTCATGTTCTCCTTTTTATCTTTTATCTTTTCTTCTACAAAATCAGAGAACAGGTAGACAGAACAGCTCCTGCCCAGAGCGGAGGGCTGGCACCAGTGGGAATGGGGATGATGGGGAAAGGAGGTAGGAGGGTGAATGTGGTGCAAAAAATGGGGACACATGTATGTAAATGCAAAAATGATATCTGTTGAAACTATTCCAGGTATTGGGGGAGGATAGGGATAAAGGAGAACAGTAGAGGGGGAAATTTCTAGTATGACAAATTTGATATACTGTAAGAACCTGTGTAAATGCCATAATATATCCCACCCAGCACAACAGTAAGGGAAAACTACAAACACAAACAATGCATACAAATATATACATTCTTATTCGCTCTTCTTTCTTACATAAATGTTTATATGAATTGATTTTTTACTGGAAAGGTAGTATATTTTATTTTATTTTTTATTATTAGTGCACTTTTAATCTTTTATTGTTGTGCTGGGTGGGAGTACATTGTGACATTTACAAAAGTTCTTACAATATATTAAATATATCATACATGAATTCATTCCCTACACCATTCTTTTTTATTCCCCTTCTCTACCCATTCCTGGAATAGTTTCAACAGATATCATTTTTCCATTTACATACATGTTTACACAGTATTTTGCACTATATTCACCCTTCCATGTCCTTTCCCTACCTCCTCCTCCCCTTTCAGTGGTACCAATCCCCCCAGGCAGGACCTGTTACACTCTCCTGTTCTCTGATTTTATAAAAGAAAAGAAATGACATTTTGTTGTTTAAGATAGCTGCACAGGGAATTTCCTTGTGACATTTCCATAATATATGTATATATATATATATGTATATGTATATAAATCTGAATTGGTTCATCTCCTCTGTTTTTCTTCTTTTTACCTTCATACCCTTCTTATGATTGCTTCAACAGTTTTGAAAATCCCATATTCATTCTTGTATAAAGAATACATCAAACATATTCCTTCTTTTACCCTCCACCTTCATATGCAACCTCCTCTTAGCATGACCTGTCTTTCATACATTGCTGTATTTGTATCAGGTCTATATTCCACGTAAGAGAGAAAAATGCAGCTTTTGGCTTTCTGAGCCAGGTTAACTCCACTTTAGATGATGTTCTCCAGTTCCACCCATTTACCTACAAGTGACAAAATTTCATTCCTCTTTGTGACTAAATAAAATTCCATTGTACATAAATATAAAATTTTCTTAGTTCATTCATCAGTAATTGGGCATCTTAACTGTTTCCATAGTTTAGCT